TTATTGTAATGGACTTGGGGGTTTTTGCTACCTAAAATCATCCTTTTGGAAACTGTGACCAGAGGTAATTCTCTTAATCTCTCAGACTACTAATTTTCTCATCCATAAAATGGGTATACTTCTTACCTGGGAGAGCTGTTATACAGATTAAAAGAGATAACATCTAAGGTACCCAACTGATAATTTACACTCAACAAAAGTTAGATCCTTTTTCTTAATTACAGTTAGGTTTTGTTTTGTTTTGAGGCAAGGTGTCACTATGTAGTTCAGGCTAGTCTTGAACTCACTGCAATCCTCTTGCCTCAGCCTCCTGAGTGCTGGGATTACAGGCATGTGCCACTGCGCCCAACTGAGGAAGTATTTTTTTTTTGGTACAGGGGATTGAACATGGGACCTTGCGCTTTCCAGGCACGTGGCAGAACCACTGAGCTAAATCCCCAGCCCTGAGGAAGTATTTTTTTAGTAAGATTTTTAATCTTTTAGAATGACTTGCTTTCTCTGTACTCAGGGTCCCAAGACAACCACCTGAATCACTTCCACTACCTAAATCCCCTACTAAATCTCTTCTGAAGGCAGTGACCCCCAATCACCTATGGACTTTCCAGTAGGCCCCACCTCTTAAAGGTCTCACCACTTCTTTAATATTAGCACATTAGGGACCAAACCTCCAGCACGTGGACCTTTGAAGAAATGCAGAAATCTACCTGACAGGGCATTTAAAAGGTAAAACCAAACTGCATATATTAAGTGCATCACAGGACTGGGACAGAATAAATGCTTAAACAAATAATGACATTGAAAATAATACAGAGAACCATTTTTGAATACTTAAGACTATACCAGGTGAGGTGTTGAGTCTGGCCTGAAGTCCAAATGCAGCATGCAGACTTTCCTCTGACTGTGCTCTGTATGGATGCAGACTCCCTGGTCCTGACTTTCAGAGGGTGAAACCTGGAATCCGAATTTTGCTAAGCTCCCTGGCAAATCACAGTCACTACCATCGATTAGGAAGCATGGATTACAAGATATTAAGGAGTCACATGGGAACCAAATGATACTAGAGAAGGAGTGGACGTTAAATACCCTGGACTCAAAGAAGAGTGGACTCATGCTCTGAATCTTGAGCCCAGAAACTCTCCAGATGCCTTAGAAGGGGGAGAGGTGGTAGTGGTGTATGATGGTGAGACAGCAGGTCATTAGGAGTGGCTTTCCTGGGAATGGTGAGTGTGCCAGTGCCAGGTGACACCAAAAGGCAGGCCACGGGGTCCAGCATGTAGCTTCTGAAGATGAAGTTGGGAAGTTTAGCTCCTGACTTCAGTTCAGTTCCCATCCCATCCCTTGGGTTAGGTGGCCCTGCACACCCACCCCAGGGTCCCTGAACCATTGCCAGGTCTTATTCTTACTACTGAACTGGGGGGCCCTGAACCACATGATGGTTTCTTCCTTCTTATAAGAAGAGATTAATATATTAATTATTCTTAAGCAAGGTCAGCAACATTGTGTTAACATGTTCTTTCAAGACAAGAATAATACTGTGTAAAGCTTCCCTTTAAAGCTCTTGTTTAAGGATTCTGTTTTCTTTTCTCCTTTAGAAGGTGGGGTGGTGTCATTTTGTACCTGGGGGTTAATTTTGCCTTTGAGAAAGTAATAAACATCAGGCTAAGATCTCGTTACAGCCTGAATCTGAAATGTCTTCCAAAACCTCTTATGTTAAAGGCTTGGTGTCCAATACAGCAATGTTCAGAAGTGGGATTTTGAGAGGTGATTGGACTATAAGTGCTCTAACTGCATCAACACAGAGATGATTTAAAATTTGATGGACTTTTTGGGGAGATTGGAAATTCAGGTGGGACCTAGTTGGGGCATACCATTGGAGACTGTATCTTGTTCTTGACCCTTGCCTCTTTCTCTTTTGTGGCTGCCATGAACTGAGTGACTTCTTTCTGCCACATCCTCCCACCATGTTTCTGCCTCACCACAAGCTTAAAGGAATAGAGCCAGCTGATCCTGAACCGAAACCTCTGCAACCAGGGGGCAAAACAAATCCTAGTTTTAAGTTATGTCAGGTATTTTGTTATGGGACAGAAAGCTAACACAGTCCTCTGTATCTCAGGAGAAGAGGGCTTGGGCAGTCCTACCTCGCCTCCAACACATATTGTTGCACATCAGTAGGCAATGCCATCCAGATTTTCAAGACTCTTTAACCGTGATGTTTCTCTCATCTTGGGCACAGGGGTGAAAATATGTGGGAGGTGACCAACAAATACAAGAAAGTTTGCTGGACACTGGAGTTCAAAGAATGAAGGTGTCCTAGGGCCCAGAGAACAGTAAGCCTATTCTTGGGCAACACCCAAACATAGCTTGCATGGGTTTCTAGTCTTTGATCCCAAAGCCCCCAGGCCAAGATGCTCCAGCACCAAGCTAGGCAGCCTTTCTTTAGCCAAATAAAATCCAGACACTCCATTTTCACAATGAAGCTTGAAACCAGTCAAGCACTTTATTAAAAAAAAATCGTCTAATGGTAGAGTATATATTCTCTACATGCTACGGTTAGTTGTTCATCAACCCCCACCCCCACATTTATACTCATGTTTTGTGTTAAAAGGAATCAAAAGGCATCACCAGAATCTGTCATTTTTCCAAGAGGGTGTGAGAAGTGCCGAGATATCCAGGGATCCCCAGCGTCATCCTTTGAGCAGATACCAGCTAGTGGGACAGTGCTGTCCAGAGCCCACTGTTCCTGAAGGGATGTAAGAAGTGGCCAAGTTACTTGATAGCTCCCTGAAGCAGGAAATGTGGCCTGCAGGTAAGGTGACCAGAGTTATCATCACTCCTCCAAGTGGAAGGAGTTATTAATAATTACTGGGCACAAAGGCATGAACAGGTATACATGGGTAAACTCTGGACACCTTTGTTGCATTAGAATTGCTTATTGCTGTATAAGCCTGCTGGGGGCACCTTCTGTTTTAATGTATCAGAGAAGTGAAAGTGAAGGCCACTGTGTCTGGTCTTTTCAAGGACAAAAAAGCTTAAGCCCCTCATCTCTGGAGCTCAAAAGGCTTCCTTTGGAGTAGAGGACAGACAGGGAGAGGAAGACAGAATGTTGAAGTGTGATGAAGGGCCTGATCCCTTGGCAGCATAGCACCAGACATCCCCCCACGGGGCTGGACAGTCAGTCTGTGGAAAGGATGCTCACAAGGTGGCCCAACAGGTGAGGAGCAGGGAAGCCCTTCCTTGCCCCCATTTAAACTCTGAAGCTCTGCTTGGGACCCTCAACAGAGGTCAGTCTAGCTCTTTACCCAAGTGAAGAACAATTCCTCCAAGACAGTCCAAGGCAGGTACAGGCCTCAGTGCTAGCCAATTTCCCATTCACTGAGGCCACAGAGTCCTCTGACACCAAGTAATCTTTGGCTTATGTATGGTATGGCCGTCCACAGTTCACACAAAAGCACTGAAGGATGGGCTTGGACAACTAGTAAGGGGGCCAACATCACCACACAGACTTCAGGTTGTTAGGTGTCCACTGTCACAGTCCAAAGAGAAGGGCTAGGCCTTCCATAGGGCAGCCTACTCTGACACTTAAGAGATTTGGCACACGGGTGGGGATTTAGCTTAGTGGCACTATGCCTGCCTCACAAACGCAAGGTCCAGAGTTCGATCCCCGATAAAAAAAAAGAGAAAGAGAGAGACTTGGCACAGTGAAAGGATGGGGAACCAAGCTATGAAGTGTTTTGTTTTTCTCAGCGCTGGGGATCCAACTCAGGGCCTCAGCTAGATAAACACTACCACTGAGCAACACTCCCAGCCTGTTCTCAGTGATGTCAAGTTGCCAGCTATTTGAAGGAAGGAGCGATTTCTGCTTTGTCCCTCATTACTGGGTACTTGGTAATGATTACTAGGCCACTAAATTCAGTCTAAGGACCTTCCTAAGTCCTGAGGAGATCTGGCACCTGCCCTTTAACGTGGCATGTGTACTTTGCCATTTCCACCTGGTACTGAAACTTCCAATGCACTCAAAGAATCGTCTAAGGCCAAAGACTGCCGTACAAATCAATTCTATGGAGCAGCCTTATGGCAGAGGCCTAAAATGACTACTGAAAGCTGAGCATGGGCTCTAGAATTTCAATGACAAACACCTACCAAATGGGAAAGAATGATTCTAAGCAAACAATTTGAGAAAAGGCCTATTTTATCAAGTGCTGGTCCTTACATTCAGATATCCTAAATATCTGGTGGCTCTATAACATGCTGTACATTTGTCTGTAGATGTAAGATAAAGTAGTCATCACAAGGTAGTGAGCAGAGGTGAGGACAGAAAAAGCCACCTCCACCCCTGGCCACTCTTTGGGCTGGCATTTGGTTTGTGACCTACTGAAAAGTCTGACCAAGGGACAGAGGGTGACACCTCAATTTACTCCATTCCCTGCAAATCCTATGCACATTGCACTGCTGATGGTGGCAGAATATAATGGACACAAGGGAGAAAACCCCCTGGATTTGAGTCCCAGTGTGGCCACTATCTGGATGAAGATAGGTCTGTGACTTCACTCACTCCATCTTCATTTCTTACTACACATCAGCTTCAATCCTATTCACCCCATAAGGCTGTCAAGAGGATTAAAGAGGGAGCATGTTCAAGCTCCAGTGACCTGCCTGGAGCTTGGTATGGACATTGCTATAATGGCCCGGGACCTTTTCTATGGCCCTGGCTCCAGGGAGTTTTGCTGATGCTCCATCAATTGGTCCCTGACTAGTAGCCACGGTTCTGATGTTGTAAACTTAAGTCCCTAGGCAAGGACAGCTAGGAGAGTCACTGGCCATCGAGACCTAGTACTTGCAGTTGTCTGGTGGGGAGTATCCACCACTGTGGCGGATAGTCCTAAGGCCATCAATGTGACTGGAGGAAAGAGCAGTGAACAAGAAGGAATGCGGCTTCTGTATCTGTAGTTCACATTAGCATAGTTCTAATAGTAGCAGAAAAACCAAATACTTTTCCACTTGCAGGGAAAAGTCTGCCCACAGGAAGTCAGCGGAGGTCCATTCCCACCTGGCTGACCTGGTGGAAGGAGGTGAGGTGAAAGATGCACCTTCAGCAGTGTTGGCAGACACAACTCACAGCTCGTGACACCAGGATGGAGTCATCACACCCTGGTCTGCCCAGCACCACCATATAGTAGGTGTGCACACAATACTTTAAACGTCACTGAAAGCCCAAATCAAATCACACACACACACACACACACACACACACACACACACACACAC